CTCCACGCATTATTCCCGTTCTCTCGACAGGCTCTTATAACCTTTTCCGGGGTTTCATACGCCAGGGTATACTCAGTTGCTCAGGGGCCCTTCATGTTAGTCTCGGGTTCTTTCCACTTGCTCGGAGGGCTTTGTGCTGTTACTGGAGCTTGTATAAGGTAAGGCACCGAGGCAATCGATGCTCTGGGGCCCTCTGCTTCGATTGAGGGCTCTGTCCCTTTGATCTCATTTGCGGTGGACTCTTCACTCCTGTCGGGGTTATTTCTGTTAGCCTGCCCGGTCACTTGATCGCAGGGGGGTATAAACTCATGGTATTGGGTATTTCCCCTTTGCTCATAGGGTCCTGCGGTCTGGCCGGGGCCTCGTATGTCAACCTGCCAGGGCACTACCTATCATTTAGGGGCCCACTATGTCGGTCTTGGATTTTTTTCGCTTGCTCTGAGGCCCCTAACATGTTGACGGGAGCCCCTTTGCCGGCCTTCCGCGACAACCATGATGCCTTAGGTTCCGTCCCTATTGGCATTGGTGCCTTATCCTTAGAGGAGCAGTTAGATATGCACCGATACATTTTTTCGCGCAGTAGTCGAAAGAAATTTTACGTGCCGCCGATGTGGTATGTGTCACTTCCCTCGGCTAATGAGCGTGTGACGTTTAATGTACTTGTGCATCATGCTTTTAGCATATTTTGATTCTAGGATATGGTGCTCCTGTGTAATGCAGGACAAATTCTGCATTAGTCATCTGTCATCAGCTGGTTACACCGTCCAGCCGGCTAGCCGTGAATAAGCTTGAAATTAAGTCCGTTCTTGGTTTTGATGGTACTTAGCAGCCAACGTGAGTTTTTTTTGTCCGTTTTTTTTTTGGAGCATTTGTCCTCAAAATTACAGGATCTAACATGAGAAAATGAGCGTGTTTCATGTATGTGCATACGTAGTACGCCTAGCTTTATAGGGTTGCGCATGGTAAGTTGAGTCTGCGTATTTTCTATATATATATATATATATATATATATATATATATATATATATATATATATATGGCGTTGGCCATTAAAGTAACGTAGTGACCTGAAATTCTGGGTCAGACGGGCGCAACAATGACCGGTATAAAATTATACTTCCGAATGTCTTTCGAAATTAACTTGTTCATTGCCAAGGCTGCCCTGGGCGATTTTTTTCAAATTTGAGGCTGTCCTCCGGACAGATTGACAATTACAGCAACACGGAAAACAGAGATTTTATCTTTCTTTGCCAGTTCCACAACCAGATTCCAGCACCACTTCGCGGTGCTCTAAATATCAATACGTTATTATCATTTATCTTTAAACCGCACAGGTGAAAAATACGCACGGAATATCTCTAGATGCACGGTTTGGTGTCAAAAACGTTCAAAGATACCTCTTTCAGATGCGTCACCACTTTCGCCCACCTGTTGACCACGGCCTGTTAACCACTCGGTGGACGCCGCCCGGCCTTAGGAGACTGCAACGCCTGATGTCGACGTTTTGTTACTAAGATATGCGAGCATGCGTGCTCAAAGCTACGTTACATAATTTGCGTCACTTACCAGCTCTGACTGAATATTGGACATATCCAGACAAACATGGCTTGGCCATGTTAACACTAATTGTTGACCCATTTTGATTTATAATGTACGTTTACGGAATCCTTGTTATTTCTGTACAACTTACATAAAAACTCTGACAAAGCTTCTGAGCTCTGTCGGTTTAAAAAACTTCACTAGATCATTTCAAAATGAAGAGTACCGGTAATTCATTCCACGCGACTCATTTAACGCGCGATTTTGTCGGTTTCTTTACTGTACACTTAAGGACAGACTTGATCTTGCAGTAGCGTGTAGCCAATGTTCCAGTTAAATAATGCAAAAGCGTGTGATACATATATATATATATATATATATATATATATATATATATATATATATATATATATATATATATGTGTGTGTGTGTGTGTGTATATATATAAACATGCTCTCAATAATAAATGAGCTATATCCGGCGATTTCCTGGGGGCTTTTGTACTATTATGGGGCTATTTGTCAGCCCTGAGCCCCCCCCCCCTTGTCAAGCCTTTGGCTGCACCCCTGCAGTGTAGCGTGTTTCCCCAATTTTGCCAAAAGGAGGTTTTATCCCCCCCAAACTTGTCTGCACAATTGAAGTAACCGGTTTGTGCCTGGTGATGGCTGGTGCCGGAGGCGTGTCACCTGGCATCTGCAGCGTTATATAAAGGAATAATGCGTGAGCGCGGTGGGATCGTTTGGACGGCAGGTTGAAAGAACGATCGCGTGGCGAATAAATGGCCAACACCGGCACGAGTCAGTTTATTACACGCCCCAGCAGAAAACAACAACCATCACTCACCCCTCTGCAAAGTTCGCGATCACTCTGCGACGCTGCAGTGAGATGTTTCCGGACTTCTGTGGTTGAGTTGGTGCGAGAGAACTGATGGAAGTTGGCATTGCAATCATCGGATCCAACCTGCCTCGCAACCGATAGTCGACGATAATTGCATCCGCATCCCGGGGGGTATCGTGCACGACATGAACAAAAAACCACTGAATGCAATCCGGGTAAGAACTTGAGGCAAGGGTTGGTCTGATCGTCCAGTCGGAGCAAAACCGCGAATATCGTCCATATCAGGTCAGTGGGTTCCATCTTAGATTGTTTTCGCTTCATGTACTTAGGCTGGCTGGTGACGGAGGCGAGTCACCTGGCAATTGCAGTGTTATGTGCAGGAATAATCGGTATATATCATAATGATCGAAGATAATATAAAATATAACATAATGCATAATATAATACGTAAATATAACATAATCATCGAATACCTTCATTGCGGTGACGTCATTCACGGTGTAATTCAGCGCTCATTCAGAATAAAAACTTTGCGCATTCACATTTATTCGCCGCCTGTGGAATGAAACAATTTGAGAGAAAGAGCTCAGATCTCCGCAGACCTGTAGCACTAAATACTAACTAGCCAAGTATGATCGCATCATGACATCCACACCTCGAAGAACACAGGCTCGCCATTACCATGTTAATCGTGCCGCGAATATTCCACCGAGCAGAACAACCTGATAGCGGTAATCACGTCGATCACGAACAGCCAATCCATCAATAGAAGTCGCCGCGACCCCTCCTGGGCCCCCCGACCTCGGCCGCGGCCGCCGCCACGCCACCCACCCCGCTCCTCTTCTCGGAAGTTGCCACCCCTACCGCGGAAACCGCCGCCGCCCCTGCCGCCGCCCCAGCCGCCCTCCTCCTGATCCTCGCCCCCTCCAGCCGCCGCCGCCCCTGCCGCCGCGCCAGCCCTCATCCTGAGGAGCTCCTCCGCCGCGGCCGCCTCCCGCACCCCTCCAGCCCTCCTCGCGCGGCGGCATTCCACCGCGTCCGCCGCCGCCGCCGCGCCAGTCATCCTGCTGCTCCCCTCCGTCGCGTGCACCGCCGCCGCGCCAGCCGTCTCGACCGCCGCGCCACTCGCCCGCCGGCGGTCCGCCGGCCGGCAGCGGCGGCGGCCGGTCCAGCAGTGGTTCGTCGCGCTTCCCGTCCAGCTCGCGGGGCCCGCGGTCACCGCCGCCGAAGCCTCCGCGCTCACCGCCGCCGAAGCCCTCCGCGCTCCCCACCGCCGAAGCCTCCACGCTCACCGTCGCGGAAGCCTCCGCGCTCACCGCCGCCGAAACCTCCGCGCTCACCGCCGCCGAAGCCTCCCCGTTCACCGCCGCCAAAGCCTCCGCGCTTTTCACCGCCGAAACCTCCTCTCTCACTGCTACCAAACCCTCCACGCTCACCGCCACCGAACCCGCTGCGGTCGCCTCTGAACCCGCCGCGCTCACCGCCTCTGAACCCGCCGCGCTCGCCGCCCCTAAAACTGCCGCGATCGCTGCCCCTGAAGCCGCCCCTGCCGCGTCCGCGGAAGCCGGCGTCGGCCGGCGGGTTGCCGTCGGGCCTGACGCCGTCCGGACCTGGCCGCTGCCCCTCCTGGAAGCCGTTGGGCTCGGCCGGCGGACCGAGCTCCGTCTTGTCCCGTCCACGCTCCCAGTCCCGTCCGCCGCCGCCGCCTGGCCGGCCGGCCGGCCCCTCCAGGTCGCGTCGGCCGCCGCGGCCGCCGCGGAAGCCGCGCGCGCCGTCGGCGCCGCCGCCTGGCCGCAGTTCGACGTCGCGTGCGCGCTGCTCGTCCTCCGGCTTGCGGTCGTCGCTGGCGGCGTCCCTGACGCCGCCCCTGACGCCGCGCAAGATAACAGTGTTAGTACAGGAGCCGGTTGTCCTTCGCGTGCACGATTTTCAACACACGCACAACACACACACACACCACGTGATTGGCGCACACACACACACATCATCCAAAGGTTATCATCTGCATGCACACGGGAAGAAAATAAGATACGCTTGACATGGACAGGGCGCGCCAACGGCGTGAAAAAACAATCGGCAAATCTTAAAATGTTGAAGAAAGGGGTCATATTTTTCCATGGTGGATCCATGACGTAGCAGCTAATACAGTATTGATACAACGCGTAAGTAAATTCCCTTCGCCGAGAAAGAAGCCTGCGTACGCGAACCGGATAGGATGCCAACAGAGCAACCCACGTGGCGGGAATGGTCCGCCCACTCACCTGTCCTGCCAGCGCCCTTTGCCCCTTCCAGCCGTCCTCCGCGGCCTTGTCGCCAGGCTTTCTCGTCCTTCCAGTCCTCCCTGTCGCGCTCTCTCCACGCACCTCTGCCCCGGCCTCGCCAGCCGCCCCGGCCGCGAAAGCCGGCTGCAACACGGGGCGCAACAGCTGTCACCGCCGCTACCACCTCAAAAGGGCTGACGTCGCCGCCGCTACCACCTCAAAAGGGCAGCCACCACAGCCGGCACAGCCCGCCGCTGGAGCCGCAGCCTTCAGAACCAGAGAGGCACAAAAGCTAGCGCGGCCGCCGCAACACGCTGCAGTGCAGGGGTACATGAGCTCCACTGCTGCAGCAGCTCGCTGCGCTATAGCGACTGATGCTGCCACCACAACGCTGAACCACGACAACACACCCACCCGGGCAGCCAGAGACCATCACACAAAATGAAAGCAATGTATTTAATATTTTTGGGGGTTAAAGGCAGCCACGTAAAGTTGTGAATCGCTAGCAGAAGTCCACCGGCTATGCGTTACAGGATGTTTAGTATGTCTCTTGGCTTCATCTACCTTGGATATGCTTCCCGACGGATCTTGCGATTCCGATAGCTTGACCATTTATAAAGAATGATCGAGGCGAGGTATTCGTAGCAGGATAAGAAATATGTTTAGACTATCGCCCTCGTCTAGGTGTAAGTATTTACACAACGTTTCGGCCAGTTTATTTCCTGGCCGTCGTCCAGAGTCATTGAGCCCCAAGAAACACTGGATGCGGTTCAGCTTTCAGTTATCTAAGCAGCACATCCGTATTCCCCCCCCCCCCCCCCTTGGAATTGCTTGAATTCACAGTAGGGGTCCTCTGACTACGAGCACAAGGGTTACCACCGAGCTGTGAGCTGCTTTCCTGTTGTTCCAGGTTAGCTAGCTGCTCTCCTGTTATTCCCGGTTGGCTCGGTGTTAGAGCGCTCAACTTTGTAATCAGAAGAAACCAGTTTGAATACCAGCATATCCAAAGAGAACTTCTGGTTTTGATGCGTGCATGGCTTAACACGCGCGCAGGCGACGGCCAACTTGCCCCTTCCCCGAAGGTTTTTGAGGAATGGTTTCCGCGCGGCGCAGCGTACGAACGTAGCCGAGCAGTTTGGTATGAACAATTTAGATTATCTTGTAAGGGTCGCTAACCCACGGCGGGTCAAGGTAAGGCCATGGATTAAGCAAATATAATTTCTATCGTTATCTATCTTATTCTATCTAAATATCGGTCAATCTGATGCAACAACGAAGTGTTAGACGGATCCATACATTTCCGAGGATAGTTTCTTAGGCAGCACAACAATTGATTGAACGAAGTCCATTAACCTAGGGTCACGCGCGGACGTCAGACCAGGGTCAAAACCAACCTGTTTTATTACTGTAAAGCTCGCTATATCGAGCAGTTTGTGATGCTTCTTTAAATCTATTGATTACAGGAACTGTATTACGCATCTCCATCGACCACCTACACGTCAGAATAGGTCACTGACCTGAAAAGGCCCAGGTCAGCATTTATTTTTGGGGTACCTTCATCTTTGACGCTTATTCGAATGCAAAGCTTAAAGCAGTTTTGGATAATTTTGGTCACCGTGACCTTCTAAAGGTCAAACAAGGCCGCTGACTTTAAATGAGCACCAGTGGCCTTTTGATAAGAAACACGTTTCCAGGTCCTGGGGAACTCTGAATGCAAACCTGGAGTTTGACCTTGTTTGACCCTATCTAACCCGAAGGTCTTGATCTGAGCCTCAAATTTTGCCACAAGTGAGTTCACGTACAGGCCAATACACACTGTGAATTTGGTGCCTCCAGCTTTCTTAGTTTCTACGATCTCAGGGGGCCTAATTGACCCCCCTACCCAAGCGAAGGGCATTCAACGGGCCACCCGGGCGCGTTTTAAACCAGAACAGCATGCAGTACTTTCTCAAGACGTCCAAAACGCCGCGTGGATGCGCACAATGGGGGGGGGGGGGGGATAATCCGAGCAAATAGACTATCCATAACGCTGGCCACATCTAAATTTTATTTTTCTAGCGGGTGCCCGCCATCACCACGCGCCGCAGTACATACTCAGGTACGATGTGCTCGTCCAGTGAACGCCAGGTCATTGGACCGGCACGGTACGCTGCAGCAATGGTGAAGGAGAAACAGGAAACGAACCTTGCTGATCGCATGACAAAGCGACACAATTATGCAACAGTTTATTAGAGCGGTACACTGGTGCAATCAAGTACCAATTAACACTCGTGCCCCATCATTAATTCCGTACTACAATGGCGTATGCCACTAGAAGTGCTAGTCTTGGCGCCACTTCAAAGCTTTTATCGCCATGGGGGAGGACGAAAGCACTGCAAGACACGACGTCGTGGTTGCTCCAGTCCTCACCAACCTCCGCCGTGGACACCAGTTTCGGAACCACCAATGAAATAATGGTATGATCTGGTGCA